CAATGTTGTGTTTGTTTGCAGTGTACAGCAAAGTGATTCAGTTTATATATATATATAAACCCATATATACACATATGGGCTTCCCTGGTGGCTCAGATGGTAAAGAATCTGCCTGCAGGTTCGGTCCCTAGGTCAGGACGATCCCCTGGAGAAGGGAATGGCAACACACCCCAATATTCTTGCCTGGAGAATTCCATGGACAGAATAGTCTGGCAGACTGTAGTCCATGGTGGTCGAAAAGAGTCAGACACAGCTGAGCAACTAACACATAGACACACACACACACACACACACACATATTTATATATATACTCAATATTATACAAGATATTATAGAAACATTATAATTCATTACAAGATATTGATTATAGTTTCCTGTGCTATAGGAGGACCTTGTTGTTTATCTATTTTATGTATAGTAGTATCTGCTAATCCCGAATTTCTAATTTATTCCTTTCTCCATACTCCTGTCTCCTTTGGTAACTATGTTTTTTTGCTATGTCTGAGAATGTGTTTCTGTTTTGTAAATAAGTTCATTTGTATCATATTTTTAGATTCCACATATAAGTGTATCATATATTTGTCTTTGTCTGATTTACTTCACTTAGTATGATAATCTCTAGGTCTATCCATGTTGCTGTAAATGGCATAATTTTATTCTTTTTTATGGCCGAGTAATATTCCAGTGTGTGTGTGTGTGTGTGTGTGTGTGTGTGTGTGTGTGTGTGTGTGTGTATACATATAGGTACACATGGGTTTCCCAGATGGCTCAGCAGGAAAGAATCCACCTGCAATGCAGGAGCCACAGGAGATGCCAGTTTGATTCCTGGGTTGGAAAGGTACCTTGGAGGAGGGCATGACAACCCACCTGAGTATTATTGCCTGGAGAATCCCATGGACAGGGGAATTTGATCGGCTGCAGTCCATAGTGTCACAAAGAGTTGGACACAACTGAAGCTACATAGCACACATGCATGCTTATATACCACATCTTCTTTATCCATGTAAGTGTTGATGGCCATGGAGGCTATTCCATGTCATGGCTATTGTAAATAGTGCCACTGTGAATATTGGGGTGCATGTATCTTTTCCAATTATTTTTTTAAATTTAACATTTCTGCTAAAACAGTTTTCGTGGAGTATAATGCTGAAATCAACAACAATCAGTTCTCTTAATTGCTTTCACATTCCACTTACCAATACAGCCAACAGTTATTTAATTATATTAATTTCCCTTTAATTTCATGGAGTTGTAAAAAATTAACTTCCAATCAATACACAATAAATTAGGTCATTCTTCTTTGTACAGTTTGTATTTAGCATAGTACCTGAATCACAATAGATACTAAATAGTATTTGCTAAATGAAATTATTAAAAATCACCCATCAAAATAGAATTTTCATCTCTTCCAGATCAATGGTAACTCTATCTTTAGCTTTTTTAGGAACTGTCCTCCACAGGGGCTGCACCAGTGTACATTCCCACCAACAGGAAGATTCCCTTTTCTCCATATCCTCTCCCATTTATTGTTAGTAGATTTTTTGATGTTGGTCTTTCTGCCTGGTGTGAGGTGATACCACAGTGCAGTTTTGATTTCTCTAATAATGAGGGATGGTGAGCATCTTTCCATGTGCCTGTTGGCCATCTGTATGTCTTCTTTAAAATATAAAGCCAGAGATCTTAACTTCAAATGCGCACGTGGGCCAGATAACTAATAGAAATGAGGGGGAAAGGGTGCAAGTAATAAAATAAGGCACAGTGGGGACTGTGGCCACCTGCAAAGCACGAGCCTCTCGGTGTTTCTAAAATGATGGGCACTGAACATAGCACACATGTAGTCCAAGTGCGCATACAGCACAAGTTCCTTCACAAAAGCAGCAGTTTCCAAAATATCTCTGCTCTACACAAATACAGCAATGGGAAAATAAGAAAAATAGTAATGGCTACAATTCATCTAGTGCCTAGAACTGTTCTAAATTTCATCCAGCTTAATCTTAGGTCACAAATAAAATTAACTTCATTTTATATGAGGAAATTAAGACATAGTACATAGTAAATGTATGCTGATTGCTCTGTTAAATTGGATGATAAAAACAGCACAGCAAAGAGCAAAGTAGCAGGACCCTAAACTGAACCCCTAATCCACAGAGATGCACACTCCAAGGGAGAGTCTTGGTGGCTTGCAGAACCATCTTTCCCAAGAGTCGTAATAGATTTAAGGCTGAGAGCTCTGACTGAACGTTGGGCACAGATGTGTTAGGAACAGTTCTGTTCCTTTAAGCTGCTCAGAGGATGTTCCTGCCTCAGTTGTTGTCTAGTCAGTCATGTCTGATTCCTTGCGACCCCATGGACTGCAGCATCCCAGGCTTCCCTGTTCTTTGCCATCTCCTGGAATTTGCTCAAATACTTGTCCATTGAGTCGATGATGCCATCCAACCATATCAGCCTTTGTTGCCCTCTTCTCCTCCTGCCCTGAATCCTTCCCAGCATCAGAGTCTTTTCCAGTGAGTTGGCTCTTCACATCACGTGGCCAAAGTATTGGAGCTTCAGCTTCAGCATCAGCCATTCCAGTGAATATTCAAGGTTGATTTCCTTTAGGATGCACTGGTTTGATCTCCTTGCTGTCCAAACGACTCTCAAGAGTCTTCTCCAGCACCACAATTTGAAAGCATCAGTTCTTTGACACTCAGCCTTCTTTATGGTCCAACTCTCACATCCATACATGACTACTGGAAAGACCATAGTTTTGACTATACAGACCTTTGTTGGCAAAGTGATGTCTCTATTTTTTAATATGCTGTCTAGGTTTGTCAGAACTTTCCTACCTCAGTGCTAACTCTAATTATTTTTCATGAATGGGTGAGGAGGACAATCAGTCCCCCCAGCTCTGCCTTTCTCCCCAAAACATGCCCTTTCCAGATGCCTGATTGAGAGTCACCCCTGAAAGGAATGTGCAACACACGTTGGCTGCACAGAGATGGCTTGGCCCAGAGTATGAAGCTCTGTCTCTTCCTGACTCAACTAAGAGACAGTACAGTGATTGAGAACTGGATTTCTGGAGTCAGGCAGGCCTGACTTAATATTCCTCAGCTACTTAAAGCCAAGTGATCTCTCAGAGGCAGATTTCTCATCTGCAAAATTAGGATGAAAATGCTAGTTCTTGCTCATTGTTCTGTGAGGAGGATGAATTGAAATAAATCACCTGAGCCATTAAGCCAGCTGAGCCATACACTAAGCCACTCAGCAGTGTATGTCAGGCTCGTGTTCAGTCGTGTCTGGCTCTTTTGTGACCCCATGGACTGTAGCCCCTCAAGCCCCTCTGTCTGTGGGGTTTCCCAGGCAAGAGTACTGGGGTGGGTTAGCATTTCCTGCTCCAGGGGATCTTCCCGACCCAGGGATTGAACCCGGGTCTCCTGCGTTGGCAGGCAGATTCTTTACCACTGAGCCACTTGGGAAACCCCTTATTAAGCACAGTGACTGGCCTGTATCAAACCCTAGTGCATGGTCATTTTAGAATTATTTTGTATTCCTTGGCCTTTGAGACAGTTGGTGAACTCTGTATCCCCAGGGATTACTAAAGCAAGACCACATACATACCCAGGCTTTGGACTAGTGGCTTTTTTTTTTCTTTTTTAAGCTCAATAGATAACTAAAGAAAGAGAAGGCAAGTCCACACATGGAGTACCTACTGCTTACCACTCATCAGTCATCATGGGAGCTGCTTTATCTTTTTAATCTCTTGTAACCTCACACAGTCCAGGTGGGAATGAAAGTTGGATTTTATTGCTCCCATATATCTAGTGTTTCTCAAAGAGTATTCTCTGGACCCATGAGCATTAGAATCGCCTGAGTAGGTACCTGATCTGTAACCTCAGAGTTTCTGGAGCAAGGCAGATCCTTTGATTTAGTACTTGTATCATTTATCTAAACTTGAGTTTATATTTTCTTGTATTTGATGTGTAAACATGTCATTTCTTCCTGGTAAATTCTCCAAAATGAGGACTATGTTTTCTAGTTTTGTTGTAACCCCAACGGTATACAGCTCAACCCTATACACACACACCATTAGGAATTAGTAAAATCTCTGGCTGGGTTTAGCTTTGTGCCCTGCAATGTCCTGACCTGTCAATGCCAAAAGATTGATAGATACCTCAAATCAGAATGGCAGTTCACCAATACTATTTAATATGCAACTGTGAGTCTTTGAACAATAACTTCTAATTGTCAGTGATGTTCTTTAATTTAATGTGCTGCAGTTCTTGTCTTATTGATCAGGGAGGAAAATTAACAAATCTGGACACTAGCCCTCCAGGTTCCTCTATCCAGGAAACTCTCCAGGCAAGAATACTGGAAAGGGTTGCCATGCCCTCCTCCAGGGATCTTGCCAACCCAGGGATTGAACCTGGGTCTCCTGCATTGCAGGCAGATTCTTTATCATCTGAGCCACCAGGGAAACAAACCCCTGAAAGGTGAAATCCCTAACAAGTTTCAGTGTTTGTGAAATAGAAACTCACAGGTTCTCCTTATCACAGAAAGCTAGGCCCTTTCTGTCCAAAATGGTTATTCAACATTTAAATACATGAATTGAAATGATTTTTATTGCAGGATCAGCCATGATATGGGCTAACTTTAGGGAAAAGGAGGAACTTGTTACTTTATGATGTGTTTGTTCCTGAGCAATTGAGAGGTTTGTCGTATGTTTTTACGACAGTTTTCTTTGAGGTTCCATAAACACCTTCTGGAATGTGGAGGTTCCACCATCAGAGTCATATGAGAGCTTTTCCAGTTCCTTAATGTCATTAACTCAGCTGCTTTGGTTGCTGTGACATGCAATTATTTCTCCTACATTTAAAAAGCGATTCTCTGATCTCCAACCCATTAACCTTGTTTGATCTTAACAAGCTGAAAAATGTTTGGAATCTAAGCTTATGATCTCGGCGTGACTTTTTTTCTTTTAATTCACAGTAGCTTTCCGCCCCCCTCCCTTTCTCTTTTTCAGGATCAACACTCTGTGGTAGGCCAGAACGCGGGCCCCAGTCCAAGTCCCAACCCCTGCTCAAATCCAAACACTGGAAGTGGTTACATGAACTCCCAGCAATCACTGTTGAATCAGCAATTGATGGGAAAGAAACAGACTCTACAGAGGCAGATCATGGAGCAGAAGCAGCAGCTTCTCCTCCAGCAGCAGATGCTGGCTGATGCGGTAAAATGTTCTCCTAATTCCTACTGTGCATACCTGTTCACCCAACAGAGGGAATTCATCAGGTTCCATTTCTACTTGCTGCACTTGTATATGTGTCCGTCTATGGCACAGCGACCAGGGTGTCTTGACTGTAAGAGAGATTAATTCCATACATACAGTGCTACAGGGGGGAAAAAAAAAACAAACTTGATTTACCAGGTGCTGGACAGTTGGAATCCACAGCACCTGGACTGATTAGCCCTGCCCAGCCCAGGAATGTTCAGAACCGCCACATGGGCCTTGGAATCAGGAAAAAGAAACCAGTGTTGTTCCACAGTGCCGAGGGGCAGAAAATAGGGACAAAACTCTAATCAACTCAAATCCAAACTGATTTTAGAGATAAAAGAGTTTTCAAAGCAGCTTTAAAAGCCAGTGTGGAGTTCCAAAACTTAAAATTTGACTTCCAAAATAAAGCATCTCAGAATAGAATTTTTTTTTTTTTTAAGGAAACTGAAAGTGTATTTCCCACTTTCTTCACATTTAAGTGGCCTTACCTTAAAGGCAAGATCATTCTCTCGCACCTATTACCCAAGTATCTGCTCGTCCCTTCTGTAGTCTCAAACTCATACATTCAACAACTGATCCAAACCCTTCCTGCCTCCTAAGACCAAAGCCCTTTCTCCAGATTTTCTTCATTCCTTTCAAACTGTTTGGCCGAATTAAAGAAGAAAGAGGAAAATTAACTATCTCCAGATTGATAGAGCTAAGGTACACAGAAAATACGATAAGGACAAATTTATCCTCAAGGAGCTTTGCAGCGAGCTGAAGCCCAGGTGTAATAAGGGCTATAATTCATTTGGTAAACATTTACTAATTCACAATGGGGCTACAGCCATAAACAAGACAACCCTGTCTTTGTGCTTAAGGGGCTTAGAGCCTTCTGGGGGAGTCAAACCGGCAATTGTAATATCTATGATTAAACACTGTGATGTGGGAAACACCAGAAATGGTTTCAGAGAGGAAGTTAGAGCTACCGAAGATCTGAAGGTGAAGAAGGAGATGGAAGGAAGAACAGGGAAGTGTCCAACCAGAAGAACCAGCATATTCAAAGACTCAAGCACAATGAAGTATACAACATACTGGGCTTGCTGAGGGAGGTCATGTATACACAGATAGGGAATGAAAGTTTGGGAAGCCAGATTTCAGAGACCAGAGGCATTTGCAAATCGGAATTTGCACTGTCTGGAAAGCAATGGAGAGGACTTCAAAGCATTTTAAACAAGTACTTGATTCAGACTTGATTTGCAGCATAATCACCTTCCAAGTAGCACTAGTGGTAAAGAACCTGCCTGGCAATTCAGGAGACATAAGAGATGTGGGTTCAATCCCTGGTTCAGGAAGATCCTCTGGAGGAGGGCATGGCAACCCACTCCAGTATTCTTGCCTGGAGAATCCCAGGGACAGAGGAGCCTGGCAGGCTACGGTTCATAGGGTCGCAAAGAGTCAGACGTGACTAAGTCAGAGTAACTTAGCAACAAATAAGTACTTGATTCAGATTTGATTTGCATTATAATAAAGGTATAAAGGGCTCCCCAGGAGGCTCGGTGGTAAAGATTCTGCCTGCCAACGAGAGAGACATAGGTTTGATCCCTGGGTTGGGAAGATTCCCTGGAGAAGGAAATAGCAACCCTTTCCAGTATTCTTGCCTGGGAAACCCCATGAACAGAGGAGCCTGGTGGGCTACAGTCCATAGGGTCCCAAAGAGTTGGTTTTTGGGGGGGCTTCCCTGATGGTTCAGACGATAAAGAAGCCGCCTAAAATGCAGGAGTTATGGATTTGATCCCTGGGTCAGGAGGGTGGCCAGAGACCAAAATTGAAGTCGCTCAGTCGTGTCCAACTCTTTGCAACCCCGTGGCCTGTATAGCCTACCAGGCTCTTCATTCCATGGAATTTTCCAGGCAAGAGTACTGGAGTGGGTTGCCATTTCTGATAGCTCAGTTGGTAAAGAGACCAAAGGTATAGCCTAATGTGTGTATTTGTTGGTTAGTTTGAGACTGTATTATGAAATATTTAATTTATAGTGAAAAGTATAAATCATAATATAGCAATCATTTTTTAAAGATATGACAAAATGGAATTAATTTTAGAGTCCAGAGCATGTGAAAAGAAATAGTGAGAAATAAATTTATTTGACTCAAATAAGGAATAGTGAGAAATAAACTTACAGGTGAACTTGAATGCTGCCCTAAGGTATAGGGGACCCACTGACCAGATGGCTAAATGACACAACTAATTTCTACCATAAATCATTGTTTTGAAAACTCCATGCCTCCTACCCACTCCCTCCCTTCTGATGATCTTAATAAATGTCAGGCGAGTGTATGCTCCCCGGTTCTTTGTCTCCTCACAACAAAGATTTGGAGCGACGGACATTAAAGTCCCCTTGGCGTGTCACAGCTCTCGGGTCTTGGACAAACCGTGTCATAGCTCTTAGACAAATCAGTTTTACAGCTCTGTTTTATTTAGAAAATAGCAGGAGAATCCATCCTCAAAGAAGAGGAGAGAGTGGAGGGGCGCGCCAGCATGTGGGGTAGAGAGAGAGAGAGAAAGAGCATATGCAGGTGTGGGAGACAGAGAGAGGGCTCCTCTTTTTATATATTTATGTGTTTTTTTCTTCCCCCGGGGCCTGCCCCATGCAAATTGGGCTTAGGCAGGAGCACTGTTCTACCTGAAGTCCTCACTCCGGTCCTCGGACCTTCCTTTGACCTTCCTCTGTTCTATTTTCGCGGGCTTTTTCCTTCCTTGTCTTTTAGCCACCGCCATTTTGGACTCCTTTTCCCTATTCTAACTACCTAACAATAAACAGTACAGCTTGGAAACAAGGGCAGTAGATTAAAAAAACAGATAATCTAAGATTGGCTCACTGGGTACACGTTCATCATTGCCATCAACACTAATTTGTTAATTTACAGCAGGCAGAGGCTGAATTTCTGGATTTTCAGCTCGCATTAAAAGGCGAGGAGATGTCCCTTGAGGGTCTTGACCTGGCCACACCCTGGCTCCTGTGGAGCCCCGGTTGAGTCACCACTGGGGCAGGTGCAAAGGGCAGGGGCATAAGCTATGGGAGGTGAATGGGAATGAGGCTGCTGTTTTTGTGATTTTTATAAGCCATTCACATTTCTTTTTGTTTGGCCACCATTGAGGGTGCCTGTGCTTTTTAGCATATCCAGGAAGAAACCGTCTTTGATGCCGCTTTACATTAGCATATGCTTTGTAGTCATTTGCAGTCAGTTGGCAAGACTAGATAGACTCCTAAATTGAGACATTTTTCTCATAAAAGTGTATTATCCTTATTCTCTATTATTCTCCCACCAGTGAGACACAAAGAAGAGATGAGTAGAACTTGTTAACAACGGGCATCAGATTTACCAATGTGTTTTGGGTACCTACTACGTACGTGCCAGGCACCATGTGGAGTTTATACAGAATTAAAAGGATTAATCCTTTCAAGGGGAGTTTGAGGGAGGTCCTAGAATTATCCACATTTTGCATTTTGAGATGGAAAAACTGAAGCAAGACAGATACGGGCCACAGAAGATGATTTCTATGTTAGCTTTTCGGGTCCAAGATATCAGAATATGAGACACTAGTTGTGAAGTTAAATTTCATGTTGCACAGAAATAATTCACAGGGGTGGTCTGTGGGTTTACACTTGCTTTGAATGGGGATGCCATTCTCTTGCAAATGGAGCAGGCTTCATTCCGTGTTGCTCTTCACCACAAAGGGAGCACCATAAAGTGACAAGGTGGCAGTCCTATCACAGCCCATATTTAAGGCCAGGAACTCTAACTCATTTGTGAACAGGTACTTTAAGAAACTCGGTTTCCAGAGATATATATGCTACACTTTGAACAACCTAAGTAACCCCTCAGAAGAACAAAACATCAATAAGTAGGTTGAATATGTACGAAAATAAATCCAGATTTGAAATCTAGTCCGTAATGGAGAATCAAGGGCCTAATTATCACATGTGTATGTGCATGAATTCTGTTTTCTTGAACAAAAACACCTAATTACATAAGAAAATAGGATGGATGCCTCTGAAAAAGAGAAGACTTCAGAAAGTCCCATGCTTGGCATAAAAATCAAAACTGTCAGCTTGCACAATAGTTTACAGCAGGAATGGTTGAATATCACCACATTTGGGTTCATGGAACATCTCAAGCTGTTTCTTGAACATTTAGGGTTTGGGCAAAACCAGAAAGAGTTTCACCAACCACTTTTTCCCTTAATTTGTAAACCCATGTTTAAAAGAAATGTAAGCCATATGTTTCTGATTCATTTACACTTAGCTCATCAAAATTGTGTTTTATATGAATTACTTGATGCCCCAAATTCCCTCTGAGCCTTTCAAGTCTTTCTCCTTACAAACAAGAATTTGAATTTGGTTTGTTGTTGTTTTAAAGCCACTTTCTTTTCCCCTTTATAGTTGATTTATTCAACTTAGAAGGTTTGGAATTTGATGGGAAACTGAGAAATACATGGTTTAAGTGGGTTCTAAATTAGGTAGCCCACATTTGACTTCCATCTAATTTATCCATCTGTTACAAGGTTTTCTTTTCTATTTATTGATTTTTCTGTAACTATATTGTATCTACTATTGTGAGCAAGAATCCCTTAGAAGAAATGGAGTAGCCATCATAGTCAACAAGAGTCTGAAATACAGAACTTGGATGCAATTGCAAAAACAACAGAATGATCTGTTTGTTTCCAAGGCAAACCATTCAATAGCACAGTAATCCAAGGTTTTTCCCCGACCAATAATGTCTAAGAAACTGAAGTTAAATGGTTCTATGAGGACCTACAAGACCTTCTAGAACTAACACCCAAAAATGATGTACTTTTCATCATAGGGGACTAGAATGCAAAAGTAGGAGGAAGTCAAGAGATACCTGGAGTAACATGCAAGTTTGGCCTTGGAGTACAAAAGGAAGCAAGGCAAAGGCTAACAGAGTTTTGCC